GTACTTCAAGTCCGGTGCAAAAACGCATGATCGCACGGGCCCGCCCGGTGCGTTTCAACCTGGGTTATTATTGTTGTTGTTACTAATATTAGTATAAGCATTAGTATAAGTATTAATATTACTGCTACCGTTTGAAAGTGAGAGCGATAAAACAAAGGATGTTTAGCGTATCTCTTCGTAACCTGTAGAATGGGGACCTCCCTTTAGATAAGCAGCTTGCCTACAACTGAGGGGTGTCGCGTATTAGTAAATGGTACCAACGAAGAAGTAAATGACCATTTTGGATTGCTCATACGTGGAGATAACGCACATACATCGAATAGGCGATGGTTACTAACTGAGGGTATGCAACTCCGAAACGAAGGGTGCGGCATAGTGCGTGGAAGCATCTCAGTAACACCATTAACATGGGATCACCACACGATTGTCCGGGAAGTCTTGGTACATAGGCAGATCCAGGATAGACTCCTGAGGGAGGCGACAAGCACGAGGGAGTGGGGCTACTGAGGGGGAGGGGAGGAGGAAGAGCGACGACGGATGGGGAGGAGAATACCCTTCCACCTGAAACTATGCAAAAACTACGGATAGAGTTATAACACTGTTATTTAGAGTTACTTTGGGCCTAGCTTTAGACCTGAGCGTTTGCAGCACTAGTGCCTATGCCGCTGGGGGAAAAGGGGGGGGGGGAAAGCGGGGGCGAAAGTGTCTTGGTATAGTGCAGTGAATAACAAAATCGGACACCCTTCTTTTTAGGTTACGTTTTCCCCCTCTAAATGTGTATCTTTGTTCTCATACATGTAAATCTTAATTCCTTTATCGCGCACTATTGTCACTAATTATTACAACAAGACAAACTGCCTGTAGATCTCATCTAATCCATAGGGGAACGCTTGAACTGTTAGTACGTAGTCTTCGAATGGTGATTTGTAATCCCGCAAACCGGCCCTCATACTGCAGCTGATTTTTCGTATTTTTACCCGCTGTCTCTGTTATATACATAGAACTGTCATTTTTTCTTGGGAGTTCCGCTGCCGGGTTGTTTTTTTCTTGCCGAATACCATTTGTATGACAAACAACGATTGGAAGCGTGAGACACTGGAAGCTTTAGCAATAGCATCGGACGTTCTCTGAATATACGTAAGGAACACCAGAAATACCAAGATTGCTCGAGCTGTCAATTTGGGCATCTCTTGTTAGTGATGTTGCTAAAATGCTCCTACAAGCCGAGCTACACCTTTGATTGCACATCTCCAGTTAGTACCCATCTCCTGTTCTATGTATATGCATTACTTTGTCGAGAATTGCCTTGGTGTTCGTTTACTTCCTTGCGGATAACACTAATTAATGCGCAACATCCATCGTTGCCAGCAAGACTGGTATTTGTAAAGGTTTCATTAAACGTTCGTCTTCAGCTTGTTTCTCAGTGTTTAAGTGAAGCTGAGTTCTTCAGTTTATGCAGCTTTATTCGCTATCAGTTTTACTTAAGCATCGGCCTCATAAATGGGACCCTACTGATGACGGGTTTTTCTTTTGCTTTTACTTTTTTTGGCTTTTACTGTGCTTAGATGACAGAGAATGGTCAATGATAGCTGAATATCGGCAAAAGTGGGACGCTTAAGCAATACTCAGCTTGCTTTTCAAGCAGCCTTCGGAAGAGGGTACCATCGACGGTCTTGCCAGGCAGCAACAAAACTTGCGGAATGTTTGTTGGGAAAGTGGTGATAAACGCTTAAATGAGCCGTATATTTGTGAATCTTGATTTCCAAGCACTTTTTAATCGCATTTTTGCGGGAAAGCAGTGTCTCTGCCAATTCTTGTTATTTATCGATGTGGAAGAAGCGCTTTTTTTTGTTTTCACTATACAAAAATTGTTTTACGCGCTACTGTAACGATGAATTCATTCCGGGAGGTAACGGAGCGAGGAAGAGGATGGGAGAGGGAAGGCAATGTGAGGTGAAGGCTCGAAGGGGGGGGGGCATCGTTGTACTGAAATTCAAGCAGTAAGGGGAATGCTGCCTCTCCGTTTGGTTGCTGCTGTACAACAGTTGTTTCCAGTCCTTCTTGAATCGTGCGAAAGTTTTGAGCGAACGGGAAAATGATTTGAGGAAACGACGAATTAGTCATGCAAAAATAATTAACCATACAGTTTCCCATCAATTTTTCATTATTTTTTCAATCGTTTCGTCTATTCCTTCTCTATCCCCTTTCTTCGTTTATTTTTCATAACCAAGTTTTCATTAACCGATGGTCTGCGCCAAAGATATTTGTGAGTGGTACCAGCAAGAAAAAAAGACAAAGGATGGAGATTAGTCACGTAGTTGCTCTGTCTTTCTACGCTTTTAGCTCACTTACTTTCGTAATTGAATTTTCACTGACCAATGACCATTGGTCAACTGCAGAGATATTAATGAGTGTAAGTGGCAGAAAAAACCACACACAAATAGTCTTCGAAAGATGGGTCTTTTTGCACAGCAGTACAGGCTCTAGCTACTCTTTGGAATGTTGCAGGACAAAAATAATTGAAAGGAAGTGCCACAATAGGTTCGCTTACTTCATTTGATATTACTAATCTTATATGTGATACTGTGGATTACTACAGTGTTCTAAATTACAGTATACAATGTTACAAATCATAAAAGATAATTATGGTATATATAACGTTTTAGAAAACTGCTCCGATCTTCACTGGCCGATGACCAGTGGTAACTTCAGAGGCTGTCCATTACATCACTAACACGGAATACCCATACTGATTGTCTGGAAGGAGGTTTTGGTATTCGTGGCTTTTTTTGAGTAGTGTCCAGCTGGTGCAGCGATAATTATTTGTCTCAGTAATAAATATGTTTTTTTTTTTAATACTCTGTGTGGATCTGCTAAGCAGTTTAGCCCAATTTTAAGAATTTTTGTGAAATCGCTTGATTTGTCATGAATTCATTGTTTTTTGTTGTACATTTTCACACACTTGCATCCCAATAACATTGAAGATTAATCAGCAGTCCGAAAGTTTTTTGATTTCTTGCTTATCCAGTCGAGTTTTTTCATTCTGAAACGAAAAAAGCGGGTTTACAGATTCGAATACTGTGTCAGGGAGTAGAACTACCGTCAAGTCCAGTAGCGTTACAAGTGTTGAAACCGGCAACGTCAGAAGCTCTGACATACGGCGGCCGAACGATCACTTCTACCAGCAACAGCAACTACCAATCATACGACGATAAAAACGACAACGACTACATGGATTACTATCCACCACCTGATATTGGACAAGTCTCGTTTTCGGGCCTCAGCGAACCGTGCTCCATCGGTTCCATCGTTGAAGTTGTGGTAAGGCTTTTGTTGAATCTTTTCATGGAACCAGAAGTTTGAAGCCGAAGTTGAACCAACTTTCTTCGGACAAGATTTGAAGGCTTGCATGCATGTTGGATTCTTCGCTAACGGTAAAACCGACAGCGATGGGTCGATCCATAGTTATCGTAAAATACGGTATCTTATTATTACAGATCAATGCACACGGCGATTCATCATCTGGTTCGGTTCTGGTTGAAGCAGTTTCGCCATCAGGTCGTCTCAAAAAATGCCAAGTGTTGAAGAAAGGAAGTGTTTTTGCAGCCACATTCACGCCAAACGAAGTTGGTAAGTTCAACATTCCATTCCCCCATTTTACATCACTCCGATATTACCGGTTCAGCGCCAGCTAAAAAGCGAAGCGAAAGCGCTATAGCGTGGGAGGGTAGAGCGACCTATACAAGTAACAAGGAGCAACCTGTAAAAGTAACAAGCCTCTCTGGATTGTATGCGTGGAGCGCTCTACCATGAACAGGTTAGGGCATATTACCTGTAATCTGATGTTTTCATGTTATTTTCTTACCTCGTTGCATTTCACTTTTACGATGTTATGACCGCTGGCTACCTCGCGAGTAATTACTGTGGTGAATTACGGTAATCGCCAACTCTTCTTGATGGAGTTTTAGGAAACCCTTTCTTCGATCTTCCAGAAGGAATTACTAAATTTGTCGTACCTCCTCTCCTAATCTTTGTGATCACTCAGTTTACTTCATTACCAATCAAATAGCACTCGTTCAGAATGGTTATTGCTAATATAGACCAGCAGTAGGACGTACTGTACATGCCGATTCATTTTTGAACATTTTCTTTTTTGGGCTGAATTTAGATTAACTCTTATGATGGTTTTTTCTTCTGCTTACTTTAACCAGTGCTGTTGGTCAGCTTGCTGCCGTTTCTAACTTTCGTTTCATTTCGTCAGGGGACTAGCAGCTCAATGATTTCTCCCGACCAGTGAAGCTTTTTAACCATTTCGAGAAGTCACTGGTATATGTTAAGCATCACTGCCTCAACCAAAACGTTGATTTTTGGCGCACGATGATGACAGTGATACCATACCGGGAAAACGATTTCCTTCTTTCGCGATTTTGCGCAGTCACGATTTACTTGCGATAAAAAAATTCTACAAATTTTTTTTCGTCATCTTTACAAAGGAACCTATTCTGTAGGCCAGGATGGAAAGCAAAGTCGTGCCTTTTTTCTATGGGATGATGCGAATTTTCCTCGGTGTATCTTGTTGGATTCGAGTTCAAGACAGTTTTAGTTCACTTTAACAATAGATTAAATTATACATGGAATTTTTGCTAAATCTTCTGTTTTTCTTGCAGGCGAATGGCAAATTGGCATAATGTACGACGGCGATCATATACGTGGCTCACCGTTTTCCTGTAAAGTTTACGATGCTAATCTTATTGAGGTAAATTTTATTTCGTTGTTGTCAAATATGACAATTGTGCCTCAAAACAAGATGTGTACTAGGAGCGTCTAAAATCACCTTGGGCGATGGTTAACTTACATTTTATCAGCTGCAACTCATCCGCAAAACTAGCCACTTTTCCAATTCCCTTGACCAGTACTGCATTATCTGCTGATAGTCAGCCTGCTAGTGGTCGAGGTATTCGTTTCATTCTCCTCGAAGGGGATTACTAGCTCAACGATTTTGTATGTTTATGGTCAATTTTTTTTCAATTTTAAATTGGATAGCTAAATTCTAGTAAATCTTACCTCCCCCCCTCCCTTTCTTCCTTTTCCCCTGGCCGCTCTGTTTTCCGCAACACTTTTGCTAAATTATGCAAATTTGACACGATTTTTTGCATTCTTCCACAGATCTTTACTCGCTTTTCGTCGGTGGCAAAAATTAATGTTATTTGTTGTTTCTGTTCCAAAAGTTGTTATAAATACGTTATTCAGGTGCATGGTTTGGATGTTGGGCTTGTGGGTCAAGAGCTAAAATTCACAGTAGACGCATCACAAGCCGGCGAAGGATATCCTAAAGTACTTTTTTTTAGTGTAATTCAAATGCATGAGTTTCTAATTTAACTCAAGTGCAATAATTAAAGTAGCACAAGGAGTCTTTTATCATGAATTTGTTTAGTAATTATTATTTTTTTTTTACAAGTTGCTGTGGAATTTACATAGTTTTGGCATAAATTTGCATAAGTTTGAGTTTCTTCTTAAGTTTTTTTATTTCTTTTTTGGATAACAACTCAGAACTCAGCTTAACGGACGAGATTTTGTCATTTGAGCGTCTGGAAAATCGTTACCAGGAATCGATCTTCTTTTCTGCATCCACTGTTAAGAAAGACTGGGGGATGGCTGAGGCAAAAGCAAACGAACAATTAGCTACGCAGTAGGGGGG